TAAACGATTTTTAAAAATACGTATATAATATATAGTTTCTAAAAATATTTTTAAAATGTATATAATATATAGTTTTTAAAACACTTTTGAAAACTATATAATATATAGTTTTTAAAACATTTTAGAAAAAATATATAATATATAGTTTTTAAAATCATTTTGAAAACTTATATAATATATAGTTTTTGAAAACTTTTTTAAACTTATATAATATATAGTTTTTGAAAACGTTTTTGAAAATTATATAGTTTTTTTAAAAACCATTTTTTGAAAATTATATAGTTTTTTTAAAAAAATATTTTCGAAAATTTATATATAATATGTAGTTAAAAAAACATTTTTTTAAAATTTTATATTATATAGTTTTTTAAAAGAAACACTTTTTTATATTAATATTTATTTATTATTATTACTTATTTTTATTTTATTTTATTTTTCGTTTTAGGTCCAATCTGTCTAAGTCCAGGGTCTAATATTGGCTAAGTGGGCCTGAACCAACCCAATAGTAAGATAAGGTTTAAGATTTGGAAACCCTAGATAATGCATGTTAACGGCACCGCGCAGAGGAGGTCAAGGGTCATGTCACAAATGGCGTGAGATTTTCGGCCGAGATATCCGGGACTGACCCATCCCGGGGTGGTCGGTCATACCGGCCACGAGCGCCCCTGTTTCGGAACCAACAGGCCGCCAGTGAAGGTATAAATACCCCAGAAAGCCACTGCCAAAAGGGGAGAACAACCATCAATGGGGACGAGAACAACGATAGAACCATCATAGAACCCACGACCATTATCTATATAAACCAACCAACATCGAGAGCCACGAACCCAAGATCAGAAAACTAGCAACACACACAACGACAGACTCACAGGCCACAACCAAATCGAAACACAAAAGCAGATGAACACAGTAAACAATCAAAGAACACACGCATAGAACACAAAACCAACAGCAAAGAAGCTCATTCGGCAGAAGCGAAAAAAACAAAGAAATGCTAAATGATACTTTGTAGATCTACGGATTCTGAGGCGTTTTCAAGCAAAACGAAGCCTGGATTTGTATCCGGGGTGGAAAACGCGTCGAAAGGTGACACCTTTTTGCTACTTAGGTGCCGGCGGACGACAGTCATCGCCGGTCAGCGGCGGCATACGCGGTGGAGCGTCGCCGGATTCTGGGCACTGTCGAAGCTCTTTTGAGAGCCCATCCTCCTCTATCTCGTTTCTGGTTTCTGGTTTTGAGGTAAGGAAGCAAATGAGAGTAAGTGTGAAAAATAAGCTGTGTGATAGGGCTTATATGCTAAAGGCGAAATTACGTCGTTTTGGGCCCTAGATATCCCGTGTTTTTTTAACAAAAGGGGGTAATATCCCTTTTGGTCCCCCAGGCTTTGTAATCTGGACATTTAATCATTTAGTGGGAATTTTGAATTTCTGTTTTGGGCACTCATTCATTACCCGTTTATATATTAGTCCCTTTTTATTTATTTGTTTATTTTATTTATTTGTTTATTTTATTTTAATTATCTAACCGTTTTTATCCTATTTCATTCTTTTTTTCTCATTATTATCATTGTTTTTCCCCTATATATTTTATTATTATCAAGATATTTATTTATTTTATATTTTAGAGTTTTTTTACTTTTATTTTTTCTTTCTTTTAACTTTTTTATTTAGTTATCTTATTTCTATTTATTTTCTTTTCCCCATGTGGTTTGTTATTTTAGTATTTTATTTACTTATTTATTTATTATTTTTTGTTTTATTCTCGGATTTATTTAACATTTTATTTTATATTTTTTTATCTAACATTTTTGACCTTTTTTTAGTAAGTAATTGCAATCGATCAAATGTAAGCAATTTGAATCGGATTTTTAAATTTCAATTTCAATTTTTAATTTCGCAATTAAAGATAATCGATAAATTAATTGGTACTGAAAGGGCGGTTCAAGAGTGATAATCCTTCCTTGATCGTAACCGACTCCCGAACCCGACACGTTTCTGGTACAACGCAGATAGGTAAGATGGTGTCCGACCTACCTAAATTCGTTTTAATGGTCGGTGACGACTCCAATTCATTTAATCCAAGTCGAAACCTAATTCGGGGCCTACCCGAAAGACGGTCGCGACACCTCTAAAGTTGGATTTTCTCTCTCGGCCCTCTCCTCTGTTTTTCTTGCTCGATTGTTTTGTATTGTATCAGCTTTGGTTTCTGTTTTTTTCTTCTTCTTTTTGGTCATGTTGCAGCAATCGTTTGCTTTTCTGTTTTGGGCGTCTCTCTTTGTATCCCAGCCTGCTCGCTATCATTCTATTGATAAATTCTATAAAGCAATGTTGATTCTCACAGATGTTATCATGTAAGGTTATACTGGACAAAATATCAAGATTAATGACTTTTCCGTGGCAGTCCTCATAAACATAAATGCCCTCACCGATAGGGATGGACGTAAAATTTTATATTAAGAATTTATAAGATGGAATAAATTTATAAAATTTCAATGAGACGAAAATATATTTTCAATAAAAATACATAAAAAAATTGTTATATATAGCAATTTTAAAATTTCAAGGGTGATTACCCTCACCCCTCGGTTCATCTTTGCTCATCAATAATAGTTGGAAGGTTGTTTAGAGTGGCCCTAATCATCATATCTTAGTACACTATGATGATCATATCATCTATGAATGGACCCAAAATTTTATATTATGGGGTAAATTTTTAAAATTTTATGAAATCACGAGCTTAAAAAAATATGAAAGGAAAATAGAATTTTAATAAAAATTTTTATAGAAATTTAAAATATATGATAATTTAAAAAAATTATCAAACGAAAAATAAAATTTAAAAAAAATCATAAAATTTTAAAATATATGATAATTTTAAATTTTTAACGATATACATTCATTAACATTTTCCTCTTTCTTTCCGTGATAATAACTTTTGTGTGCTTGGTAATGTGATATATAGTTGTACCTGTTCAAAAAATTAAATATATAACATTATATTGTAAATATTAGAAATGTGCTAAGTTTTTTATTTAAAAATAAAATAAAACATATTAATTACACTTGTAACAATATAATTAAGTTTAAGGGTAAATTACATGTTTAGTACCTAGTCTATCAATTTGGTTCTATTTTAGTATCTAAACTTTTAATTTTTCAAATCATATCTAAAGTTTAGTTTTTATTTCATTTTAGTACTTTTGTTTAAAATCTAACATTATGTTCTAAAAAGATTTGAAAGCTTAGGTACTAAAACGGACTAAAATTAATAGCTTAGGTACTAAAACGGACTAAAATTAATAGTTTAGATATTAAACGAGTTAAAGTTTTAACATAATTGTACTAAAATGAAACAAAAACTAAATATTAAATATGATTTTAAAAAATTAAAAGTTTAAATATAAAAATTAATTAAAATTGATAATTTATGTATTAAATATATAGTTTACGTCAGTTTAAACACTTCTCAACAGATGGCCCAATGGTTCGGTGGTTTTAGCAGAATGAATTGATTTGCTGGGCTTAGCCTGGAGCTCGCTATACACTTACCTCAAGTAACATATTAATAACAAATAATATTTATTTAAAAAATATTACGATTATATTAAATTAATAAATTTTAAATTAATTTAAAGATATTATATTTAAATAAATAAATGGTTTAAATTCAGTAAAATAATATTTTTTTAAGGTTGACGTTTGGGATTTAGAGTTTAATATTTAGGGTTTAGGATTTGGATTTAGATTTAAGATTTATAGTTTATAATTTGGGGTTCGAGGTAAAGTTTTTAGGGTTTGAAATTTTTGGGTTTTAGATTTGGGATCGAGATTAAAAAGATATTGTTTTACCGTGAGTTAAAAGATATTTATTTATGGGTTTATAAATTTCAATTAAATCTAAATCATTTATTTATTTAAATCTAACGATTATAAATTGATGTAAAACTTATTAATTTTACATAGTGTAAGTGAATCATGTCCCTTGTCTTTTTATTTGATATATATTGTTAGGTATGTAAATGAATTGACTTTGAACAAATAAAGTTATGTTCGTGTTTTCTTGTTTTTTTTAAGGTTTTCATGTTTGATTTGTGTTTGTTTGTTTTATTTTGAAGATGTTTCATGTTTGGTTCATGTTCGTTTAAATTTTCAGTATCATGTTCATTTATTTATTTTTAAAGGTGTGTATATTTGTTCGTTTATATTATACGAATATGTCCGTTTAACGTTCGTTTAATGTTCGACAATCAACAATTATTTTTACATTTTCATTTGCAAGTTGAAGAAAAATGATGAAATTACTTCACTAGTATTTAAGTTACTTAGGCTTCACAGTTTAAACTTTAAAGTTAATCTTATGTTCAATTTAGTTTTATATCTTCACTAATATTTTAAAAAAAAAGAGAACCGAGTAAACAAGCTTATAAGATAGTAAACAAATGAGTTGATAAGCGAGCTTATAAACTAGTGTATTCGTATACAAAAATGAACCGAACACACTTCTATTTGTATTCGTTTGTTTATTTAAATAAACATAAAAAATATTCATACTTATTTATTTAGCTTAATAAATGAACAATTTACAAATGATTTATAACAATTTGTTGATGTTTATATATTATTTATAATATTATATGAACTCAAATAATTAATAAAAAATATATCATTTTATATCAATTGAGAATCTGAGATCCTTCTTTTAATTCATAATAACAAATAATAGTATAATTAAAATGGGATGATAAAAATAATTTAGAATATATGTTTTAATTTCCGCGCTGTTTGAAGATTCCGCTATTGTTAAACGTCGTGAGGTAATGTCAAGAGTAAAAAGGCGCAAGGAAATCCAAGGGGATATTAGATTAACGGAGTTGACGGTTTGCTAGAGAAGACTGTAAGAGCCTTCGATTAATAATCAACGGCAAGAATTCTCTGTGATCTACCCTTGCGGTGTAACGTAGGGTGAAGAGAATGTATTAAAAATTAGGTTCGGAAGGGAGAGAGATCATTTCGTTCCATCAGAGGAAGAAACATCCTCCCTGTTACACTTTCTTTCTCTTGTTTTTTTTTCAATTTCCCTCTTCTCTGCTATTTTGCTTCTACTTTCTTTTTTTCTTCTCAAGAACCAAACAGAATACTCCGATAAAAAGCTAAAAACTAATTATTGTTTGATTAATTAGATGTCGAGGATCTGAATTCTAAAGAGAGCCGTGCGATACAGGAGAAGGAAGAGAGACAAATCTGAGAATTTGTGAGGTCTATAATTGAGAGAAAACATTGATTTTATTTTGGTTTACTGTAATGGATTTTCATTTTCTATTTCAATGGCTTTTATAAGCATTCTGCAATTCTTTTTTTTTTCTTCCAGATTTTATAGATACAATCAAAGAAATTGAGGAACATTTTTGCTGGTTTTAGTTGATTTTGAATATTTTGTTTGTATTATATGGCAGAGATCTGAAACAACGGCATATTGGAATGATTTTGTTTCTGATAAACATTTTTTCCTCTCTTATGACAGAAATTTTTGACGACTGCCAAGCTACTTTCTGAAGATTTTTCGACTAAGTTAACATGCATAGAGGCAGATCAGCTAATTACATATTAAAATCTTAAACATCAAATGAAAGCCGGAAGAATAGGCTTCGTATGTTATTATTCTGTTGAAAATCCAAAGTAAAATTTGTGCTTATACCAAAGGACTTGAAGAAGGAAAGTTTTGACGGCCGAGCGAGCCTGAGCTATTGAGGTATGAGCGACATTTTCTTACCAGTACGATCAAGAACCTGATAATCTAAGTATCGATTCTAAATCTACCTAAAATGATTAACCCGCCATTAATATGTTTACATATCATCGGTTGCAGTTTATTTCCCCTGTATCTTCTTCTTTCTTTTTTAGCATGTTCGATGCTTTAGTAATTGTTTGTTTATATCTAGTTTTATTTGATTAAAAGTCGAAGATTTTTCTGACAGAGGCGATTTTTCTTTCTCTGGAGACCTCCATTTTATTTCTACATTTAGCATTAAGAGTATGTATTTCAGATTTTATATATTTTTTCCGGTTTGCTCTTTTCTCCCACGGAGTTTCAGACCTAAGTTCCTTCTTAGTCCTTCACCCCCCCCCTTTTTTCAAGTAGTCTGAAGAAGAGCTTGACGTTTTGTCGCTAAGGTTTTTCCTCCAGATTAGATATTTACTTTGATTTCGGTATAATCAATATCTATCTCTAATTTTCGCTTCCTTAAAATCTCCACTCGGAAATGTTTTTCTTCTATTGCTATGATGTTCATGGTTCCGTTGATTTCTTCCATGTCTTTAATTTTCTGGGTGCTAAACATTTTAAGTACGAGGACAACTGTACTGGTTCTGTTTTATTCCAAGTTAAAACTATGTTTCGTGTGGACGCCTCTTAAACTATTTTGTTATTTTATTGAACCTATTTCTATTCTTAATTTTCTTAACCCCGCCTAAAATTCTCTTCATCATTGTCCTTTTAATCCATTCAATGTCTTATAAAAATTGTTTAATCATAGTTGCTGGTTTTCCATCTTTATTTCCCTTCCAAAAGATGCTGAGACCGTTCGATGCTTATTCTTCCCCATCTTTAACGTCTCTGCAAAAGGCCACTGTCTTTCTTTTTTCCTCTGATTTTTTTTCTTCGAATTTTCTAGAGAAAAAAAATTCCTAGCAGTCCAATGTGCACACTCTAATGATAAGCTGAAATAAAATTTGTTTGAAATTGCATGGACGTTTTAAGAAAAGCCTTATTCAAATTCTCTTAATCGCTTTATCTTTTTGTATCCTATCGGTGCTTGTACTTCAATTATGAAGTTGAACCCAGAAAAAAGCTCAATTTGGAATTATTTATTATTTTGCTTCAACAATGGGACATGTGTGCAGAAAATGATGGAAAGGGACTCTTTAAGGAGCAATAACAATGGTAATAGCACCAATCACAACAAAAATAAAGTCAGAGGTGATGCAGGATTGTTAAGATCTAGCTTAGATTCTTGCCAAACAAACGGCGTCGTCTTCTAATTTTGTTTTGCAGTGGGGGAATCGGAAGCGTCTAAGGTGTATGAAGATCCAGGTCAAAGACGATCAATCCGGACCAGTTAACCGAACCACCGTTCTAGTCGATCGCCGAGTCGTGAGGGCCGATAAGGACTCTTCAAATCAGCCAAGCAATAATAACAATGACGGGACTGGGTGTTTTAACCTCCGTCAACGGCCTGCTTCTCCTCAGGCTCCGCCACCTCAGCGCATTCTCAGGTACTGTGCTACATTTACAAACTCAAATTAACCTTTTCTCTTGGAGTGTTTGGCATCGCGGTGCGTGTAATATACGCTCCGTTGAGATTGGGGTTGGATTAGGGTCATGATATATGATTTACTATTGGATAATTTAATATCTCGTTTTTTGTGTTATCAGTTATCACTTGGTTTTACGTTATGTTTCCGGTTCAAATTGGCGCGAGTAAAATGATTATAAAGAACCATATTTCCAGGTCCCACTTCTTTAATCCTTGCCTCTCTTTTTTCTCCATTAAAAGAAAAAAAACGATCTGGATTATAACCTATTTAACTAAATTGAATCGTTTAGTGAAATGATCTTTCTACTTGACTGCTCCTTCTCTGTTCTGTGATTTGTTAGTTATTTACCTTAACGAGAATTTGTATACATCTATCATGGGTGGATGCTTTTACTTTTTTCCAACAGGATATATAATAATCTTAAATAAGTTCGTGGTTGTTCGCATGAATGTTTTTGAGAATTTCTTGTCTGCAAGTATTTCCTTGTGCGCTGTTTCAAGTTTGTTATTTTCTTCTTATTATTGATTTAATAGTTGGCCTAAACAATAGTTTAGTCCCCCCTACATAATCCTCAATCTTGGTATAGAAAACCCGATGTCGTTATATCTTGTTTTCATTTTTTTATAGTTGGTATTATATAGTATTTCTTTAATAATACATGGTATTCTGATCCTGGATGACTTGATGCCTAACACATGATGGATCATGGAATCGACAATTACCTCGCCACGTGTCTATGAAGTGTTTTTTTATCGCACCCCTCGTCAGCCGTTCGGCCACTCTTGGGGTTTAGGAAGAAGCCAACACCACCATTATGATGAAAAGCATAACCCTTGGAAACCCGTCTAAAAAATAGCTGCGCATCCCTAGATCGGTATGAAAATAGAATAACACTTCCTCTCAAATATATGACTTTTTCACCAAGACAAAACAAAAAATAGTAAATTAACAACTCCCCCTATTTAAAAGCTAACCCCCAACCTCTCACCCTTTCCTTAAGAGCCCAAAAATAAAATGCATACCATGTTCTACGTGATACTTGTCTAGATTCTATTCAGTCTCTTTCACCCAATCCGATCTGCATCACTCCAAGGTTACATTTGTAATTCTACATTTAAAGCTTTTTTTTCCCTTTTACAAAACTCATAGCATTTGATTCTTTTTTCCAATTATTATAATAATATTCTCTTGACAATATTGTTTTGTCTTTCAGGAACTGTGAGAATTCTAATCCTATGAGAGGCCAAAGCAACGGTGGTATAAGGGGATTCGCTTCGCCAGACAGGGCGCACGAGAAGAGAGGTGGCAACCAGAACAATTACAATCACCACCACACCAACAACAATGATAACAACCACCACCACAACAAATCAGCTGCATCTTCAGAGACGGCTCACGATAGCAGAAAAGGTGGGTCGTCTTCCGGGAGCGGTGAGGTAGCTCCTGCACCTATCGTCTGGCCACCTAAGCTCATGATTGCTTTAACGAATAAAGAGAAGGAAGAAGATTTCATGGTTTTTAAAGGATCGAGATTGCCACAACGACCTAAAAAACGGGCTAAGTTTATTCAACGGACCCTCAATGTAAGTCTGTCTTATTCCTTTCTTCTAAACTAATTCATAATAATCTAGAATAATTAATTTATAAAACACGTAATTTTAAATTTTAGACGAATTGAAATTTGTCATTGGATCGTTTGAAGGATAAATTAGTATAATATGTTGAGTTGAATTAGAAATAGATAAGCCTGTAGCTGTTGAGTTACGTGAAATAAATGAATAATGACTTGGTTTGCTTTTATTATGCAAATATATTTTAGTAATAATATTTTTTTCTGGCATTCATTCTCTTACCAACCAGATAGAAATTAGGAATGAAAGATTTTATTATTAAGTCGATGTAATTATAAAATAATATATTTTTTAAATATTTTTAATTATTTAATAATGAATATTCAATTATTTATGTTAGAGTTGTTAGTATTTGCATTTAAATCTCTAAAATAACAATCATTCTTTTAATCACCGAAATAATTAAATTAGTAAAAATTGAAAGATCATTTTAGATAGCATAGACAAATATTGGACATCACAATTGAAAAAGCTTGTGACCCGGTCCTAATTTAGTTGCCAACTTGTGCCTTGTGTATCGGTATTGTCTATTGCTATGCTGTAATTTCGTGAGATTCTAGATTTAGCTTTAACATATAGAGCTTGGACATTATTGATTTTATTTTTTTTAAATATCTATATCATTATATGAAAAAAAAACATTAAGTGAAATCTCAAAAACAGGACTTTGTTTCTTTTAAAATAAAAAATTAAATATTTTCAACTAGTAACTTGATTTTCACTAATTTGGGACAATATGTATTAGTTTAATGTCTTTGAAATTATGGACGAATGCCTTGCTGAAAAAAGACAAATGAATTGGGACAATGTACACGTGTAATTCAAAAAGGTCGCAAGTAAGCAACCGACAAAAGAAGGCACACTGCTCAAGGCATTATTGTCTGGGGGCTTTTCTGAAATATGTTGTTATTGTAGGGGCTACTTTTATATATTTCCATTTGCAGTTAGTTGTTTTCTTATTCGGAAGGCAGTCGTTGAATTGTTGACTTTTGACTATACCACTTTTGGCAACAACAACAAAAAACACCATAAGCAATAAAAAAAATGTATACCATTAGTTTCCACCTTTAATATTATCTAAACATCTCAAAGCGTCTTTTCTTGAAAAAAATATTTCAATAATCCAGACTTAATAATTATGCCCTTTGGTGTGCTTATTTTGGTTTGCAGCTTGTAAGTCCGGGGACATGGCTATGCGATTTAACCCTCGAGCGATACGAGATCAGGGAGAAGAAGATCACAAAGAAGGTATCATTTTTTTCTATTTATAAAATTAACTCAAAAGATTCAATTTAATATTTATATTTTCTTCCATTAAATACCTGAATTTAACCCAAATCCTTTCCCCTTTGCATTCTTTGCTGTACACGTGGCCCAATAATAAATCAACACGTGCTGGCTTAATAATATTTGAAAAATGAAAATAATAAATACTAAATTAAATCTTGAAATCAAGATGTATATTCAGTCTATATTCTCTAATCTCATATCTAGAGACCCCTTTAACGTAATGATCTGGTGCAGAGACCAAGAGGTTTAAAAGCTATGGGAAATATGGAATCTGAGTCTGAATAGAAAGCTCGGAAGGCGCTGTTTAAAGGTTGGTTTTTTTTTAAGTATTTGCAATATGAATGTCGACGATTTGATGATGATGAAATGTTCAGAGGCAGTTGATTTTTCTTTTTCTTTTTGGTTGAGGATGAGACTAGCGTTTAAGCTGTGTAAATGGTTATCTTTATTCGTCTCTGAGATGAATGGAGAAAGATTTAAATTTCTTGCTCTTGGGACGCAAGTAAATGGTTAATACATGACATTGTTCATCTGTGAGATGAATTGACAATTTTTTTTAATGAGTTTCCGATTATAGTTTAAAGTCTAACTATTTAATTTTTATTCGAGCTGTGCCACTCAGCTCTGGAAAGATCTAATTTGTGGAATAGTTAATAAATTTGTTTATGTGTTAAAATATTTTTTCTTATTTTCATATTTAATTATTAAATTTGAATAAAAATTTACTAATCAAATAATAATTTTAATGATAAAAAATTTATTATAGATAAATTAGGGGTATATAATGAGTTTAACATCTTGCGAATAATTTGAACTTAATTCGGTCAAAGTTCAATAAGGTCAAAGTTCAGTAAAAATTTGACTCATTGATTTTATTCGAACTCGAGCTCGAGTCAAAATCTTAACGAATTAAGTCGAGCAAAATCTAACTCGACTTGATATCATTAATATTTTATATAATTTTTAATAGTTATTTTAAAAACTTATTTCATTAAAAAAATACTAATTTACTAATAAATGATAAAAATGATAAATTCATAATTTATTTATTTTCTAATAACCAATAAAAAAAACTTAGTTATTAATTAATATTTTACTACATCCAAAAATCAAACTTATTTATTATTTTAAATCATTGTGGGTTATTATTTTAGAGTTTAAACTTTGAAATTGTTTAATACACTCTTTGATGATATTTTTGGTTAAATTTTATTAATTTATATTTATATTAAACTCTATGTATTATTAGTATATTTTATTTATAGTTCAAAAAATAAAGTAAAATTTTCGTTGATCTTAACGAGCTCAATGAGTTGAGTAACAAGTTTTTTTAACGACCACAAGTCGAACAAAAATTTAACGAGCTTAACGAGTAACAAATCGAGTTGAACAATTTTTTTTGACGAGTACGAGTACAAAACTATTTAACTTGTGACTGACTCACTTAGTAAGTATCATAGGAGAAACTTAATCTCTTGCAAAATGGGTTAATTTTTTTATTTTACTTTTGTCTCTTTAAAGATAATTACTGGTATTGTTTAGCTATTAATTTTGCTTAGAATCTTAAAAGTTGGGTAGATTTTAGAAAATACAAATTACTTATTCTGGTTTCTTAAGGAAGTGTTCATCAGCTTCTCATGGAATGAATTTAATGTTGTAAATTTCTTAAGGGTAAAATACACAATATTTCATTGAACTTTACTCTCTCCTATTTTTCACTATACTTTTATTTTTTTTAATTTACTCGCTGTAACACCCTCAGACCAATACTAGTGATCTGATCTATGAGCTGCCACATTAGGGTCATTAGAGCGACCCATAATAAAATACCGGGAAAAAATAAAAAATTGATAAATTTTCAAACTATAAAACAATTTATATGCAATTTCAGAAAAATCATTCATATATTAAAATAAAATTCAATAATGTCGTACCTCAAATCAAGTTACATATTCCATATGAAAACAAATGTGAAAAACTCTAATACTGATGTCGATACTGCACATGATCAATTCCTTTAACCTGAAATTGTGAGTAACGGAGTAAGCTTTGAGAAGCTTAGTAATATAAAACTACCACATGATACTAAAGGTCAAGCAAATATTTGTAAAACATGAAATTTCCTTAGCTATCAAGGCATATACAGATCCTAGTGATGAGTAGAGATTTCACTATTAAATCTTCAGGTAACCGTCATGGAACTTACAGTTCAAAAGAAAAGTTCAGAGAGACAGATTCAGAAGATGGAGTTGGAAAATCTAGTGTGTTCCAACAAAACCAAAAATAGTAGTTTATTTTAGTAAAACATATTTTAAAAACACAATTATAACCTCCACCCGAACACCGATATGTAGTTCCCTAAAACTGTATCAATAAGGACTTACTCTAAGCCCATTGGGCATATGAGCCAACCTAAGGGAGTACCTTGGGGCCTTAGAGCCTACCCAAGGGAGTACCTTGGGGCCTTAGAGCCTACCCAAGGGAGTACCTTGGGGCCTAAGAGCCTACCTAAGGGTTACCTTTGGTCCGTAAGAAATTATCTACTTGATCAGAGCTGAATATATATAGTCTAGAATCCTACCTAGACAGTATCCCAATAAAACAGTTCAAATAGTATACAATAATTCCATGATCCATAAGTTAGACATATTTATATTTTGCAATAGCAATAGGTGAAACCCCCTCAGACCGATGCGGTTAACCCAATCCGATCTGGAGTGTCACATTAGGGCCACCGGAGTGACCCACTGTAAAAATAAAGAAAATTTAAAACTTTTATTAAAACATGTAAATTATAAAATGATTTATCAGTACGAATAAATAAAACAGATTTTCAGACTCGTATATAAAATAAAATAAATTACATACCCCCTAATCACATATACCATACTCTGCAAGCAACTCCGGAAAAACTCCCTTACTAAAGTCGATAGCTGCACTGGTACAATTCTTTTAACCTGCAATGTTGAGTAATAGAGTGAGCTTCGGAAAGCTCAGTAATAAAGAACTATCAGATGATGCTGATGAACGTGCAGATATAGATAAACATATATTTTTCTTATCGATTCAGACATCTACAAATTTTATGTTGAGCGGAAATCCTACTGGTATTTTAGATGGTAACAGACAATGAGCTTTCAGTTCAAAGAATTATTTCAGACGTCTGAGTTCAGGAGAATAAGTTATCTAGTGTGTTCCCGTAAAACCATAAAAGATATAGATCTTTTTAAAACATATATATATACACCCCATCCTTTCACAATCTGTTTGTGTATGTTCCCCGGAACCATACACCCCGCACAACCAGTAAGGCCCTGAGCACACAGCCGAGAAGCCTGCAGATATACTTCCTCCAACAATAAACCCCCATATAAAACATTTCTCAATCAATAAACAGAGATATAAGAAATCAAAACAGAATTCAAATCAGATATCAGAACAGAATCCAAATCAGAAATCAGAACATAATTCAGGTCATGTATCATAACAGAATTCAAGTAAGAAATCAGATAAAATATTTATGTGATTAGGGAACACACTAGTGTTTACAGATATTATTCAGAGGTATTGTATAATCTTAACAGACAGAGAAACACAGATCTTCAGTATACCGATAGAATACCGGAAGGTAGAATCACTATTGGAAGAGTTCATTAACTGATAGAATCATCAGTTATTCAGAATGTGAATTGAGCTGATAAGGAAGAAATGAAGGTTCAGACATTTACAATCTATGTCGATTGATCGGATTATCGAACAACTCTTTGATGAATAGTTCCCAGAACTAATACTTATCGACTGGTAAATTCGTTGTCCTTCTAGGGTATTTACACTTTAATACCAAATATTCTTGTCCATAGTTCATCTTCTGAGTCATCACTGAACAGATCTTAAGGAAACGAACATATATTCTAATGTCTTTATTTCATTTCCATGTTTCCACTATACCAGGAAATGTCGGCGTAATTGTTTTATGGTTCATAATCTATAGGGATGATAATCATGTAAGTTCATCTGAGTTTCCAGGCTTATCCCAATCACTTACTTAATCCTCAGTCCTTGAGATTACTTAGTTCATTTAGTATTCAAGTCCATTCCAGCTACTTCGGGATTTTCCAGAGTAAGACAGACGTTGCTGAATTTCATATACATATTGTACTTTCGTTCAATTTAATTTGATATTCGTGGTTGATTTCTCTAACGAATATTCATTTCTTAGTACAGGATGTGATCTAAGTTGAGTTGAGCTGAGTTGAGTACTTCCAAAATTATTATAAATCCAAACTTGAGAGATGAACACACATTCAAGTGATATATATGTCATTCAGGTACTGACATGTCATTAAGGTTGATCGGCTCACTTAAGTTGTGTTCCATAACTTTTAAGGGTATCACAACACCTATATTTACTTGGATTCCTTAATTAATCCAAAACATCTATTAGTCTAGTCCATAAGGGTATTTTGCTCATTTTACAGATTAGTTTTATTCATTCATTTCAGAGCTCGAGGATATTCAATCATTCCTGAGCTTGGTGATATTCTTGAGTCATTTCCATTCTAGGGATATTCTGGTCATTTTACAGATCCAGTGTATTACAATCATTTCCTTCTGTCCGATCTTATTACGAATTCAAACTTATCATTTATTTCAGTCCTTTCGAACAATTCTGACAAAAAAAACACCCCCGATAAATTGTTCTTCAGGTATTTACTCATAACTCGAATATTTTTTGGTCAAGTGCCTTCTCAGATTTTACAAACGAAATATCATGAATTTTTCTGTACAAAGACATGATCTTAACAATTAAATCCGTAATTTATCGAGTTAAGTACAAATCCTCAAAGTACTTTCTCATTCAGGGTTAACTCAAACTATTTTTAACTCTTAAGGGCATTTTCATAATTTCTTAACCCAAAAATTTCGGTATTAACTCTTAACGAAAATAACTATAATTTAGAGATCCTATGGTTAATTACTTTTCCGAATATTCTCGATCTTGAAATGGTTCCTTAACAGACTCCTAGATTCTTGCCTAAATCCTCTTGGGTTAAAAACCGATTATCTATATTTTCTAAGCAAAACTAGTATTTTTATGCACATCAGTAGTTTCATCAGATCAATATATCTTTAAAAACCTCTTATACAACATCCATAATCAAATCTTGCCTTTTTATAACTTAAGGGTATTTTCGTAATTTTACCCTATCGGAGTATTCTCATAAAGTACCTTTAACATTTAACCTTTGATGAAATAAATTATAAGTTACAAATCCAGGTTGATTTCTTTATCACTAAGCACATAACTTGTAATTTAATTCTAACAATCCCTCAATTTCTTATAAAAGTCATCTGAACCATAATCAATTACTAAACCTTTTTACCTTATTAGATCGAGTGTAAAAATTAATTAACTACACAAATGAGACCAACATTATCTTAATCATGCATTTACCAAGATTCACATGTTCATAAAGCAT